GGGATAGGAAAGAAATGTATTTCAAAATAAAAGAAAAAATAATGATGCACTCAGTAATACCAGCCTTAGGTAATTTATAAAAAGAAATCATAACATTGTAAAAAAGCCTTTTAAATATTTCTTATAGCAGTCATCCTGTGATCATGGGTGCTTACAGAGCCTTACTGTCTTTAGTTCTTGTGGTTGCTGCCTTCTCTGCCATCGCCGAGGCTGGGAGATATGCCACGGAGTGTACGGTCTCCAATATTCCTAGTCATTGGTAGCTATTCATCATTATCCTTCAGAATAATTAAGTCAATCTGACTAGTCTAGAGCATGTCACGTGCAGGGAGATAATTCAGTGTTGTCTCCCTTCAATTGACAATGGCATAGCTTAACTGTGTTGGCTCACTTTTAATAAAATGTCGTAAACGAAATAACCCGGTGAAGACAAAGTTGTTTGTTGACATATTTTGAATGTAAGTATAGAATAAGAGAACACAAGAGGTTTGACTGGTATTTCTACTCTATTTTATCAAATTTAGATTGTTCGGGATAATAAATCTATTATGGAATGTTTATAAGAAAGACATCGCAAATTATCAGGCCTGAGTAGGGTTGTCACCCACAAGCGCATTTGTAGTGGGCAATGCACTGGAAGGGGGAATTCATTCAGTAGAAGATTACGCCGGACGATGGGCTACATGTACATGTAAATATGAAAAAGAAGACATTGGCACGTTGTCAGAATGGATTAAATGTATAATAGTATGTTGAAATCGCGCATTAAGGGATTGAGAAGTAATATGAAAACCATCCATCCTTCTGTCTTCGACAATGCAGATGTAAAAGAAGAATTAGATAGATTACACGATCAGTATGTACTAGTTCCCGCTGACAAAGCACGTAACAATATTGTCGTTGTTTGTAAGGCTCATTATTTGAATTGTATTTTATATGAACTAGGATTTAATTCTGCAAGTGGTAATCCAACTTCTACCCATAGCTCCCTTTCTAAGGAGGAAATTCTTCAATACCTTATGGCAGTTTTAAATATTTTTGATTTCCCAACAATCAAAACGAATTTGACTTACCATACCTATATTGGATTCCAAAACTTCATAAAATCTTTACAAACAAAGATACCTAGCGGGTTCCAGTAGATATTCTTCCAAATCTCTTTCTTTATATTCCACACTAAAATATGAACAGCAGTGATGGAGAAACTTCTGGAGTACTGTACAACAGTATATTCAAGAAATGGCGTAAATCAGATGTGGATACTTAAAAATTCCGAGGGACTTTTAGAAAATTTGAAATCACAAAATTTTACCAAAATCAATAACATCAAAACGTACGACTTTTCAACATTTTTTACAACCATATCCTACGATATATTATACTTAAACACCCAATTTTACGTTAACGCCCCCAAAATCTACCTGATTCAAGATCAATAATATACCTCCTGTCAATCATAGAAAAAAAACAATAGCTACTGATTTGATTGACAGACCAGCTACCCGTACTACCTGATAATCTGAATTTGCAGGTTTTGAAAATGATCGCCTGGTCAGGCGTCAAACACTTTCATGTACCGCGTGAAAAGTCGCTTTGTATATACACTGAGGGTTAAAAAAAATCAAGTCGCTGTTATATTGCATGGTTGGTCATTTTATTGAAATAATTAAAAGTAGAGAATTAAACCTTGACTTCATGATATTTTTTTTTCAATCTCCACTGCTGTTTGGTACTTTTTAAAAGCGATATGATGTCCATGTCCAAAATAAATGTAACTCTTTTTTGAAGAAAAACTAGCGGCTCGATCTTTTTCAATTACTGCCTGGGACTTGGATCTGGAGAGGAACGAAGTTCTCGTAGTAGTTAAGGCCAATAATTCTTCCGAGCCCCTTCTTCAACCTTTGCCGAGATTTTAGTAATCATCGTAATGCCCCTGTCGACCCTGCATTTGGGTGCACAGAAACTCAATGCGAAGCCCGCCAATTAAAATCATGACAAAGTAAAATAAAATAAAATAAAATGTATAAGAAAAATATTTAGCATTAACGTCATGAATTACGAAAGATTCGTTTATATCATGCTTTATCTTTGCATATATTTGAATACGAATAGTGATCGATCTTAATTAAAATCTTACAAACAATACAAATCTGTGAACACGGACCTTCGGAAATGCTGAATATTTTTGGACAACATTGTTGGCACCGGGAGAAAAAATAAATACATTCCGATTGTGGTAAAAATCCACACGCCGGATAAATTTGATAAATGGGATTTTTTTTAAATTTCAATATTCATACATGTACATAAACATTATATGGTATATATCAATCTGATTTTGTGTTCTTTGTATATACTGACATGCATTTAAACGTGTGTCTGATTATCAATCCCGTTATGATGGGAATCATATTGTCGAAGCATGGCGTTTATGCGTTGTTATAATCACGAGGATACCTTCAGCCTTCCCTACAAACTGATGACGTATCTAAGCTATTTTAGGAGCGAGTTTCCTATCTTAAAATTAGAATATATGTACTATTTTCTTATTCGCAATATCTGTAAATCTATTTTCTTATATAAATATTTAGGCCTGTCGTTTACTGAGATTATACATTGCATTTTTAAATCTTTACACCCTGCTCAATTTGTAGGTTAAAACTCTAATTTCAACCTTTCTCCCATTTTCACAACATCCTGCATTTAATCGAGGATACCCCCTTGGCGGCTGTTTATCATTTGTATGTATTGATGCGCCTCTGGCGCGCTGACTATGAGGAGCTGATAAAATCAACTCCCAAAAATTGACAGAAAAAGCGACGTCGACCATCCTAACGGAACAGCGTCCAATCATACAATTATGGTTTAATATGGTTGAAACGACTTCAGACACAAAATATTTATTCAAACAACTTGAAAGTATTGGAATATATTTAGTTCATTGATTTGTAATTAGTGTATACGATTTTTCAAGGGTGTGTAAAATTTCGGAGACACTATACAAGAAGTGGAAAACCACTGTTATTTGATGAAAATAGGATATCCCTATTCATGACGTTGTTATAAATCTAGCGCCGTCGGACTGGACTGTGCAGCCTGTGTATACAAAGCGTTTATATTGATGACGCTCGTAAATTTTCGTGTATTGTTTTGAATTTAAAAAATTAAATCAATTATGGTCTATACATAAATATTATAGCACACACTTGGCAGTGTGGCATAATAAAGAAAATTAGCGTGTGTCCATGAACATGTGATAAAAATTCAAAATCCATATTTTTGACGTTATCATGAAATTAGCATTACGTCAGACTGGGCCGTGCGGCTTGCATATACAAAGTATTTACACCTATAACTTTCATAAAATAGTGTGCATTGTTTTAATATTTTATATATTTACTAATTCATGGTCTATATTAAGATTTTATCGTACACATTTGCCATTGCGGGCTTTATTAAGAAAATTAAGCATTTGTCCACGAACTTTTTGGACAACCCTCGTATATATATATATATATATATATATATATATATATATATATATATATATATATATATATATATATATATATATATATATATATATATATATACTTGTTTATATCCCCCACAAAACGATTGGCTTGTATTTTACAGCAGTATGTCACAAATCGGAAACACATGAGAATTTCTCAAACGAAATGTAGTCTCTACACATTTGGGGTCAACTAAAGAAGGACCTTCTCTGGCGAGAACGGTGCTCAATCCCGCTTAAAAGGGTTTTGTGGAAACTTAATTCATAACATACCTAATTGTACAAGGTTTTTATTCCCCCAGAAAGAGGAGCAAGTAAATACTACAAATAAAATAAAGAAACTTTGATAAAATTGCAGAATTCTTCATACTTTTTATTCGCGTCTATATTTAGTAGCAATATCTTTATTTCCAAAATATATTTATATGCATTTAATTATTAGTACACAAAACCATGTAAGGATAATCTTTTTGAGCTGTACAGCTTTACTGCTTGTAAATAAGAAAATGTATATAATAAACACTGAAAGACAATTTAACGATTTGTGAAGATGTTAAATCCACTGTGTAGAAATTTTATGCTCAGTCCGATATTTGTAAAAGATGTTATCTATTATGAGGTTGCGCAATCCTTGTGTACGCTGCGAAGAGACTAATGGATTTTAACAATGTGCTACAGGTGTGTACATGACCTCGATGACAGCTTGTGGCCCAGTTAAATTTAATATTTCAGAATGAAGTATGCTTTTATTATTTTCCCGCTTTATCTTTACTATTTTATTTTCCTTGGGCCTATAATAAAACAATTTTTAGCATTTTGAACTGTTTTTATTTATTTATTTTCTATCATGATAAGGATCTTATTAAAAAATAGCTTACAAATAATTATTAAACAGTGTTTTCTTGAATTCATTTTAAAACAATTTTAAGGGAGTCGAGGCAGAAAACACGAGAGATTTTTTAGCTAGATTTTTTTTAATTGTAAAATGAGTGAAGCTGTTTTGAACGTATTATTCATTTAAAATATGACTGAATATATGTTGATATTGTAATTTTGAGTGGAAGAAGTATCTACGAATATTGACTCAACAAGAAATATGATAATTCGACATTAATATTGAAAAAAATGTAAACCGAACATATACATGTATTGACTCCCATTCATGTATCAAAAGTACAAATAGCACAAGATATATATAAAATGGATTTTGACGCACAACATTTTTTAAAGGAAATTTTAATATTCTAAAATTTAACTCGGTAAATCAATTTTTATTCAAGCAGGTCTGTATCGTGTGTTTGGGCATCAAAATCTACAGATTTACAAGACTTTATATATATGTATGTGCAAAATTCATTGATGAAAAAAATTCTTGATCTTTAACAGAGAATCATTACGCGTTTTCTACATATTCACCATTGAAATAAATTTTCAAATATCATGAAAACTTATTTTTCATCTTGAGAAAAGATAATGATAATACATATTCAGTATACATCTTTTATTCAAACAAAATCTTAAAAGAAATATGGAATTGCTACAGATCGTATCACTTTTTCATAATATGACGTCACTTCCTGAGGCACCTCGGACAGCATTCCCACGATAGTTTTATTACATTGCTTCCAATAGGACAATCAGGGCACATATAATGGGTCAGTTCTACAACTCCACTGACGCATTTATATTCTTTGCAAGGTGAAACATCCTTGTATGAAATCATGTCTCCATCATCATATTCTTGCCCATTCCAATAACAATTATCTGAAGAAAAAGATCTTACTTTTCACTGGTTTAACAAACGAAAGGCAATATAGTATATTATTTTGAAAGAGCAATGGACGTTTGTTGTATTATTCGGGTGGAATCAAATGCGTGTATAACGAAACGATTTTCAAAGGTTTTCAAAAATTACATAATAATCCCTTTACCCCTTTTCTACTCAAGAATTTGTGTAAAACAGGCTTATATATATATATGTATGTGTTTCACCCTCTGACTGAATGTCGCTCTTTCATTGGTTAAAAGTAGTATATGAAACAAAGAATTTTGACCTGGGTTGAAAGCTGACCCGAAGGTTCATTTTTCAACGTTGAATATTGTGACCAACGGTGTTGAATTTAGACCTTAGTCTTTTGAATATTGAGTTGCAACGTTGAATATGTAAATTCATAAAACACCAAGGAACTTTCTGAATATTTGAAATCACAAAATTTTACGAATCAATCACATCAAAAGGTACGACATTTTTGAACACTTTAGACAACCATTCCCCCGATAAATTAAAGCCCATGCTTTTTGACCTCATATATAGACAGCTGTTTTTTTCAATAAAAATGGAAAATTACCTTGTCATTGGTCATTTGCAAAATTATTTTGCTAAAAATATTCTGATTTTACACACGCGTACAATGAAGTTGATCAAGGAAGATGATTTTAAAAAAGATGCTTGAGTTTCTGACATGTACGTTATTTTTTGAAGTTTTTCCAATAATCTGTTGGAATTGCCATGGGTTGCGTTCCGTTATTACAGACATATTTTTGAAATCAAATGAAGCAAAATTTTTTAAACTTCTATGTGAAAAGTCTTGCTGTAACCCTCAATTCGAAAGGAGATGAACAAGGCATATCTATAGCTTCATATATATAAAAACATATTCAATTTGTGAATTTAGTATTTAGAGTAAAGTTACCATTATTGAAATTTATGAAATTATTATAAACAAAACTTTTCTGAGGAAAATTTTCTCAGCAGGGTAGAGTGGGTTTTTGCTCCATGTTTTTGTTTACTAAAATGTTTATCATCAGTCTCATTTAAATATCTAAGGTCGATTCAATGACATTCCTAGCTAAGAAGCATTGACTGACGTTTTCATACAATTTCTTAGGCCATTGTTTTTCAAACTGAATTGTCTACGGATTTTTCCGTTTTGCCCGAGTATGTAAAGGAGCACACGGCGAGTGTGACCGGTCGACAGGGGCACTCCTCAATGGAAACTGATCCCAACTCTGATGTTTTTAGAGATCCATGTTTACTCTGCTCCCAATTCGATTGTTCCAAGGACTTTTGAGCTCAATTGTTTTTCGTTATCTACATATTTCATCATCAGTATGTATCTAATTCAACCGAATTAAAACGTTATAATGAATTATGAATTGATGTTCACAGCTATGATAACTAACAACCTCCATATCGAACAAAGGGCAAATAGTCGGGTCAATATTCAACAGGTCACACCCGCCGATTGCACCTTGTCATGATCGGGAAATAACGGAAAAACTCGTCGACAATTCAGTGTGTAAATAATGGGCTAACAATTAGTATGAACAACGTCAGTCAGCATTTGACTCAATGATAGATTGTATTTGCTAAAGGTCATTGAATCAACCATAGAACTTACGAAATGACGACTTTAAACGAGACTGCTGATATCCGTGTTTCATCAACCTGTTTGTCAATAACTTACCTCGTTTTAGAAATTGTTCATACGTAGAGCATGCTCTTGCGTATCGAATCAATTGAGAGATATAAACCCCGTATGCAGGAGATGAGGGTATATTGCTGTAAGTAAGGGAAGTTGACGATCGTAAAGTTATCACGTTTATCATAAAGCCTGGAGTTTTTAGATTACCATTAACGTCTTTTTCTAGTAAAATATCCAAATATGACACAGATGTGTCAGACTCTCTGGTATCTTTTATTTCAAGCTCACTGGGATATATCGTATCGACATAAGAATGGAAATAACCATTGTTAAATGACAATATGTCATCGATATATCTAAATGTTGAGTTGAAGGCCACAGCAAGTGTTTTCTTTTCACGTATAAGATTTGAATAAATTCTGCTTCATATGAATACAAAAATAGGTCTGCTAATAACGGGACGCAATTGGTATGGAAATTCCAATAGATTGTTGGAAGACCTGGTCTCCAAAAACCACATAGATATTGTCAATTAGAAACTCAAGCATCTTTTTAATATCAACTTCAGAGAACTTGTGTAAAATCAGAATGTTTTTCACAAAATAATTTTGCAAATGACCAATAACAAGTTCCATTTTTATTGATAAAGGAGCTGTCAATGATATCAAAAAGTCTGGACTTTAATTTGTCGTGGGGAATGGTTGTATATAAAGTGGAGAAGTTTTTATGTTGTTGATTTTGGTAAACTTTTGTGATTTCAAATTTTCAAAAAGTTCCTTGGAATTTTTAAGTATCCATATCTACTTTACAGCACCTCTCTAATATATTGTTGTACAATTTGGCCATATTCTGGCCATAGTTTAGAAAACAGATGATGATATTAACAAATTTAGGTATTTTTACGCATGTGCGCGATTTTTATAATGCCAAACTATGAGATATTTATTGACCGGAGACCCCTTTCTATCACTTTAACATTCCGTTTCCGAGTTAAAAAAAATCTGATTATAAACAAAAAATTCCACCTATCAGTTTTTTAAAGAAAAATAATTTAGCTTCCTATATCGAAAAAGTCTATTAAAAGACTTACTTCCAGCATTTGCAGTAACCAAAAAGCAGAGGCAGAGAAGAGAACCGATTGCAGCTTCCATCGCTGAGTCTGCGTGTTGGATTAAGTTCACGGTCCCGAGAAGTCTTGAAGTTCTGCAACAACTCTTACAATAGATTGTAATAGTCAGACTCTTCCTTATATAGAATCCTAAGAATAATAACTTCAATAAATTGAATTTTAAAGCTTAATCTGTCACTCAACTGTTACATGTTATAAAACCTATAATTGATGCTATGGATGATAGGACATTTTATCATCTAAACAGAGGGTTATTGGTTGCCCTGTCGATAAATACCTCTGGCCCCCGGGCTCTCTTCAGTGCTTACAGACATTTATTGACGAGGAATCCATCTGTTGACCTCTCCGAAATTCCTCATGCCATGATGATATGTCATTTTTTTCTTTAGGAAATGATTATGATTTATATTGCGTGTATTTTTTGTGCACTATAATTGAATAATTTATCATTAATGAAAATAACTTATTTTCAATGCTTCGATGGTGGTCCCAAGACCAAAAGTTATCAAGTTAATTATGTTGAAAAAAAAAACAACAATAAACAAATATCAAATCAAACAAATAATAACAATAATAAAACATTACACCGTGTTTTTCTCCATATATTTCCTTCTAAATTTATTGTATTTGATGCTGGCAGAATTCCAAAACCTAAATGCTGCACTTCAAATCATTATTTAAGCACCTTGATTTTAGTTAATGGGTGGTACATCCATGATTAATGTAGAACTTTGACATTATAAAGTACAGACAATGATATAAATTATACTTGCAAACTTAACGCTACCATCAACTCTTAATTCAGAACTCTAAGCTTAGTAGATTTGAAAAAAATCTTATGCAATATACATTTAATTTTGTTCGCAATTTTTAAGTCTGCAGTGGTAAATGAACATTTAAAAATTCCCTTATGGTATTTTATTTTTATTATCAGATTATCCTAAAACTTAGAATGGTTTTAATCAAAATATTTTAATTCTACAAAAGTAAATTGATTCAATTATATTCGTAAGGACATCTATCGTTTAAATAAGAGATCTATAAATCAAAGTAATATAAATACATTAATAACAGCAGCTGGGAGTCTACGTCTACTAAATAGTTTTCTGTATCTTTAAATCTTTTAGTTGTATGTATGGATTGCTGCATACTTTAGATAACTGTTATAATTCTGAACAAAAATAATTTTTATTTGATATTGGATTGCCTTTTGTTGTTATTTTTATCCTACTTGTACACAAGTCCTTATTATATGTGGCTTATTTTTTGGACTTCACCACAGCAGTGTCTGTCAATGTGACACAAAAACAACAATAAGGGCTGTTGTGGTTGACCAACGCAAGGAACCGTAATTTTTGTCGATTTGTTTATACTCATTTAATGGAAATTACTTCACAGGATTGTCAGCAAGGTGACAATGTATGTAGTTGATCTTCAGTCCTTGGAAGATCAAGAATTAAGGTTTTTGTGGTACCAGACTATTGAATTTTAATACATCAGCATATTTCATTTCTGTTGCATTTCTTAAAGGTAGAGCTTTCATGATACCGAATCAGCTGTCTCCTTTTAAATTCATTAAAAATAATTTTTAAAAAAAGGATCAAGAAAACTGATGAATTCGGAAACTCTTGTATTGGGGTAAAAAAAAGAATTCTAGAATAATTCCTACCGAAATGATTCAATTAAGTTTAAGATTTAATTTAAAAAAAACATAAACTGAGGGCATTTTGTTAAAGAGAATTTCACTGCATTGGTCTTGTTGTATGAATAGATATTTTACCTTATTTATCTATTTTTTTTAAAGATTACTTTGACCTGAACAGCAAAATAAAATCCATCTGATGTTGCCTGCTACTTCGATAAGTCTTTCTAGGAAATTTCAAGATAATTTCAATATGACATTCTGTATCAGAATTCCTACCTTTTCACGTTACACTTGTAAGATACACGAGCAGACATTAGGAAAAATGACGGACAACTGATTCCCATGTATTTGTTACTAATCTGAAAGGGACGCAAGGGGGCTTTTTAAAAACCGCTATTATGAAATGATTTTTACCATGAATTAATTAAAATTCTTTGACTAGTACAACAGGACATCTATCTTGTCATAATCAAGTGAGCTTTAATTGCATGTATCAATCTGATTTCATAATTTTTGTACTAGTTTTTTGTTGTTGCAGCAAACCCCAAAGATAACCTTATTTTTACCTTATTTGGTAGCAGTGTTTGTTATTGATTATTGTCGACCGATCACATTCGATTTCATGCGAGGCATCTGGCAATGTAACCTTTTGCACACACATGACACAACGGACTACTTTGCTTACTATGAACTGACAACTTCATGTAAATCTATCATAATATGTTAAGTACTAAGGAGTTTTTTAAATGAATTTATTTGAGATGCAAACATTTATACAGTTACATGGTGAATAAACTTACGTTTTCTTTATCTGCGCAAGCTTTTCATTCACTTCTGAAACGGAAGTTTATATTTTACCTGTACAGAAATTTTTTTTAGGTGTTTGGAGTAAGTCAAACTCGTACATTAATTTATTTGTTTACTAGGTAAATGTTCTGTACATTCTGCATCATTACATAGGCCACAGGTTTGACTCATGAATATTAGAGTTCCCACTCACTTGTTTTCATATTGCAAGGCATATAAAGAGTCGCGCGTCTGACGTCGTCTCACATTGTGACTTCAGAGAGCAATTATATTATATAAAAATAACGTAATTTGTTTTCAAGAACATGAAATAAATATGTGCAGAATGTTTTTCTTAATAAATAAGACTTCATTTGATTTTATTTTAAATTGTTCTCTTTTCCTTTAACTAATTACATTGTAATTCATTAATTTTGTAAAATAATTTATCTATTTTGTATGTTTTGTTTGTTGACATGTCCTTTTTAAATAATAGAGATATTATAATTGAAATGATATAAAAATCACATCTAAGTCAACCACATCACGTTTTGTTCATTGAGCACAACAGGAAAATTTCCTTACTGCAAAATTTCCTTATTGATCATTAAAGATTTCTATATTTCCATATCTATTGAAACAAGGCACACTATTTTGAAGCAGTATTTCGAATTTCCCCCCAGTTCATTTTTTAAAGGAATGATCAAGATAATATATAAAATCATTACACATATGATTTGGTCGTAGTTATATGTTAATTTTAATATATATTTACACAAAGAAGTAAAAAAACCGTTTCCGGGAAAGCTTGTAAAAATGAAAGAAAATGGGTCATTATCTTTCACGTAGAAAATTTATGAAATATCAAATTTAATTAATAAAACTAATAAGAATCATCTCATTTCTGATAATTCGATGAACTCTCTCTCTCCCTCTCTCTTATGAGCATTTACATAATCAACTTTAAGACCCATACTAGATTTTCAAAACAATTATTTCTTACACCATAATTTACATGTAAGACAGCAGTGAACTTTGTACTGCTACTATCTATGAAAGTAAACATGTGTATGTACATTTATTCGGACATACATCTACATTAACTGAGATATCATCATCTGGCCATCTGTCATATATGATAGTCTGTTATGTCCTATTTACAGTTGTGTATTCAATGTTATCTTTAGCATTATGCAAGGCACTGCTGTGTTAACCCTGTGATCTGAAACAATAACGGTAGAAAATAGGGAATTCTTTATGATGTTTTTGTAAAGTTCTCGTTTTCTTCAAATTTCATATTGTCTTATTCAAAGTAATATGATATAATATGATACAAAGCATATACCGTTGTTGTAAACAATTATAAAGAAATAGCTATGACACGCTAAATTCACAAAAATGAGCTAAAATTAGGTTTATCGACTGTAAAGTATAGTTAAGTATAGTTAAGGACTTTAATCTGTATTTCACATCTTTAAACCATAGTTAATTACTTAATCTATGTTTCACAAATTTTAACTATATTTAACACTGAAAAATAATCATCTGTGATTGCAAAACATAGTTTACCTGATAAATACGGTTTCACTATTTGTGTACTATGGTTTACGGATGTTAACTCTAATTTACGGTTGTAAACCACAGTTTACAAATATTTGAGACACTAAGTTTACAAAAATTGTGATAAACATAGTTTTGATTTTAAAAACATGCCAGAATCTCTGATTTTGTATTGGGGATGTACAATTTTCTGTGAAACTATATTTCACAACTTTAAAGTATAGTTTACGATCAAAACTATAGTTAACACTAGGTTTGTCCGTAAATCACAGATACGGTTAATCCTAGTTACAGCATGATAAGAGTTTGGTATGAAACGATTATTAGCATTGATTATTGAAAATATATTTATTGTTGACATGAAAAGTATTTTCTATTATTTTAAAGCAAATCTTGTTGGAAATAAAGCTGATGCCCCAAAGTCCTCTGCCAATAAAGGTAACACGAAATGACATTGCCTTTTACATATACATTTTGAACTGAAATCGCAAGAGGCAGTTTTATTTATCATAAGACATTTGCATTTATTATATTTTTGGCAGTTTTATCCATAAAATAAATTTGATATTTTAAAAAAGTATTATTTTCACTGTAAAAATAGCACAAATTTGCGGCAAAATCACCTTCCCTTCCTAAAGAGTGTAAAAAATGTTCCTATAGTAACCATTATTACACTGATTGAAACTGCCAAAGTTTTTCCTAATTCTCTCTTTCTCTTATTTTATAATTCTCAATATAAGTATCTTGGATTTGAAATAAAGTAATAATAAAAACAGAGCATTTCGTATTTTCAGTCCTTTCATTTTAGATAAAAATCCTTATTATCACTTAGAATGTTAAAAGACGTGAAATTCACAAAATATTTATAAGGTAACGTCACGGAGCAACAAATAAAATAATGTATATTTATGAAGTTGCTGAAACGATGGAGATCAAGATCTATTGATGTCACTGGATTGATTGTATATTGTTATACGTTCCTATCGAGAATTTTTCACTCATATAGAGAAGTCACCATATACGGTGAACGGCTTCAAAATTTGATCGACCTTTACTTGGCACTCCAGGGAA